AACTGATTTTTTAGATGATGAAAAAGGAAAAGTCTTGTTAATCTGCCCAAGGTTGAGAACTGGGATTCCAATCCAGTTTTGACTCAGCCCTTTGCTTTTAGCCAAGGCTTTCCTGCTCAGAAGGACTATGAGTGGTAGAAATAGTTTGAGATTGAAAAACATGTCTCTGATTATTAATTTTTTACTCCTTATATGATTAGTAGCATCATTTGCATGACCTATTTCTATCATATCCATAGCATTTCATTTAAACTATACTTTTGGCTTGATGGTAGTTTTGCCCAGTATGCAAAATGTAACAGATGCCACATTCCAACACTTGATTCATTGCCTGGTTGGACTCCCACATCAATTCATTACTTTAACAGACAAACAAAAGTTGGTTCTACTGGCACAACTCAAATTTATTTTTATGTTTTTTATTATATCTGAATCTCCATGGCCCCTAAGTTTTAGACGTGTTTAAGTTCTTCAACAGTAAGTAAATGGGATTATGCTGTCTGCCAACTCTTCATATTTTTTAAACTGTAAAATTTTATTTTGTGAAATGTCCTTATTTATGAGACCTTTAATGAGTTTCATGCTTTAAGTATCTGTGAGTTACCTGACAGAAAGTTTTTATTATAGGTGTAAGACTTGTTTTTCTTTTAACATCTTTCATGGTTGAAATAGAATATCAACAGAGTCATCAAATTTAGATTAGTTTTAGATGCAAATAACTAATAGTCTGTAATAGAACAAGTTTCTGTAAGCAGTATTTTTACTTAATGTTTCAATGTGTGCACTATTAAAACTTTTCAGCATTGATCCATACTAGCATGCAATTTAGTGAACTTACTAGGAGAAAGCATGGTAAAAGTTTCAGTTTTTCTGGGTGTACTGAAAGATGTAGCAAAAATGCATCTCAAAGTGCAAAAACCTTACATTTATTTCTCTTTATGACAAGTGTAAACTGTTATGGTTAAGTGGGTGGGGCAACCGGAAGTAATTACTAAGGCCAGTGGCATTTTTGTGGTTTAATAGAGGCAGAAGCTAATTATTCAGTTTTTATTTAAGTGAAATGGTGCCAAAAAGGAGATTCCTGCAGAGCAGCTGCACTCCTTCAGTGTTACCCTAATTTACCAAAGACACAACTGTCACAAACAAAACTTTTAAACTTGATATATAGCCACAGAAGTAAGGAGGCTTTTGTTTGGAGTGCATGCAGAAGAACTCCTTTATACAAATCAACCGGCAGATGACGGACAATGATGAAAATTTGATTCTTTGAAGTCATAATAGTCATTGAAATGTGTGAAATTCTGGTATTGAAAAGAGAGCGGCCAGCAAGACTCTAAATCCTGGGTGGTTGCAAGAAGCTTGCTGGGAGGTTTTTCTGCATTTTGACACCAACTTCCCATTGCTTGTTCCCTGCTTCCTTTGTTAAAGAAAAAAAAAAGTTGAATTCACAGAAGATAAATGGAGACAGTTGATAACCGAATCATACAGTTTTAATATGGAAAACTAATATTTTATCATGGAAATTGGTATTTGAAAGAATAAAGTTCATACACATATACTGGTACATTCATAATGATTTCTAAAATTCCTCTTCATTTATATAGACTTGTGAAATGGAACATCAGCTATCATCTCCAAAATTTTAAATTGAAGATATGGTGTTGAAAGAATGAACTTTGGAATTATGACATTGCATCTTTCCATTAGCAAATCTTGACTTGAATGTCCTTAATCTGTGAATTACCATTGACTTATTAGTTATCATTTATTAAAATAGCATATTGTATGTAAGGTTGTATTTCTGAAACTTTATTAGGATAAGGACATTTATTAATAATGAAAACATAGGTTTCATACTTGACCCAACTATTCAACAATTAAAAGTTTTAAAATTCAGTAAATCTATGTATGTTACTTATAGAGTAGCTTGTTTTGTAAGAATTTATAGATAATTATTAACTGGTGAGTCTCGAGGTTCTTCAGGTACCAGCCTGAAGCCTTTTCATACCTATGTGATTTAGTTTTTTGAATTATTATTTATAAATTATTTATATCTATTTTACCAATAAAATGAGAAATCTGTAAAAGGCTATAGTGACATCTTTCTCCAAAGCATTTCTATCTTTTCTAAATAGGCTTTAAAAACTCACAGGTGATCCATATTGCAGTACAAAAGTAGAAATCCATAAAGAATAGCATTAGTTCAATGTAGTTTAAATAGTTTGCAGATTTTTAATTTTTTTGTGTGAAAGTTAAATCTCAGGTAGCTCCGTGAGAATTAAGAGGGAACCACAAAGCATCTAAGACACAAGTAGAGTTCAGCATACAGCCTCATAGTTCTTTTCAAGTGTTACATTGTTTTAATGGAATCTTGGAGTGGGAGCTTTAGCCCATTGAAATGTGCTTAAAGAACAGGTTCTTCTGTCACTAGCTGAAGCTGTGTGGATGAAATGATAACAATAGCGTGTCGAGATGCATTTTTAAAGTGTGAGAAATCAGGTTGTCTAGACTGAGAGTGTGCCTACAGGGACTAGGAATATTAGAGCCTCTGTGCCCTTTAGGTGTCAAGTATATGAGAGATGCCAAGTCCCTTTATCTTTGGCAGCAGCTCAACTGGGCTGTAGTACCTTACATGTCTTCTGCACGCAAAAACAGTGATTCTGTGTCATGACAACTTGTGTTTCCAGAATCAGAAACCCACTTGTTCAAATGCCAACTTTAAATTGGGGGAAGAGATCAATAAATAATTGCCATAATTTGAGAAGACATGGAAGACTGGTATTTATGAGTTCAGACTGTAAAGAGCTTAGCAGCATTGTATAGACACTTTTTAAAAAACGGTTTTCTGTCCTAGAATTTATTCTGTCCTTTTCTACTGTGTAGATCAAATACTGTTTTATAGTATAAATCAAGAAATACTATTTCCATTTTTTTCAAAGCTTGAAAAAGTTTAAAATTTTGTTTTTTAATCACTTTGGCATATATGCATCACAGTATAGATGTAAGTAAAGTGTTCCCTCTAGTCTTCCTGAGATAACTAGTGTTAAGAGTTTAATGTATTACCCCCATATAGTTAGTTTTAAAAAGAGACATAACTTATAGCTCCAGGGCTTTAATGAACTCAGAACAGAGGGGATGCTTTGGAATTTGGAAAAGATGCCCCACTCCATAATTTATAACATGCTTATGGTGTTTGTTTATACCCTACTTAAGCTGTAGCTGAGGAAATGAGATAATCTAAAATACATAATATTAAATAATAGACTACTATGCCAGATTGCAAGTATTATAGTGAATACAGAGGGGAAATTAAACATTGAGGACTTTTCAGGAGTTGAGCCACTTTAAGCTCTTAAGTAGAGACATATTTTTCAGAAAGTCATTAAATGTAGTAATACTTAAGTTTGAAGTTGAACCTCAATACTAGAAATTACCAACTAAAACATTTCACACCTTTATAATTTATGCACCAACTTTGTCCATTTTTTTACTTTAACCTAAATGTAAATAAACTTGAAAAAAAATAAATGTAGGCACATATTAGAAGTACATATTTGTGTAAATATTTATATGGATCATTTTGATAGTTTCTCTAAACAGACAAGTTGTGACAAAACCACACCTAATTATTGGTGCCGGTGGAAAGGTATTGTGTTGAATAGAGGATTGGTTGCCAACTAAAATAACTTTTTAATCTTGTGGATAGAGACCAGTCAAGTCAGAAATGTGCTTAGTGTTTTTCCCACTAGTACATACTGCAGCTAAGTATTCTTGCTAATTATTTGGTTCATAGCATTGCTAGATTGAAACTACAAATAAACATTAGTCTTCATTAGGGTGTATATAATAACGTAAAAATTCATAGGCATTTTCTAGTATTCACAAGTTTGGTATAATTTTATGTTAACTGTTGTTTTTATCAAGTTATCCAAAATGTATGTTAGTAAATGAACCATGATTTTTCAAATGCTTCATTAATAAGGATATGGTATACCCCAGTGTGATTTACTTTGATCACATAAAGTATTTTACCTATTTTACTGTTACTAAATGGAGATTTAATGCATTTATGGCGTAGCTTGCAATTTTTTTAATTTTTGAGACCAGACTTTGGCAATGACCTTGAGCAGTAGGATATAAATAACTCCCACATACTTAGTGTTCCAGTAATGGAACACTAGGCATAAATAAGTTTTAAACTCTGAATTACTTTACTAATTTGTGTCCTGACTGCCACTATGTTTTGATTAATGTGTCTACTCTGGGGTGTCAGAATTCTGTGCATTTTCTAAATGATCATTTGTTACTGGATAAAATTATAGAAAAATTGAGTTAAAGTTACCATTGTTTGCATCTCACATTTTGGCAAAAATTGTGCCACTTTTTGGAGTTACTTTTGCAGAATATGTTTGATTGTCTCATTCTCTTTAGTAGGTTTCACCAAAGGAAGATAAATCAAAATGCTAATTAAAGTTGTTACTTTTAATTCTTTAAAAAAGGTTCAGGTTTCCCTCTGAAGGTAATGTCCTGTGAGCAAGCAATTTGACACAGAAACTATAAGTAACAGATTATCTTCTATTTAAGATTTAAATATATAGATACAGATTTACTTTTTATATGTCCCTTATATTTTTTCTCCTCTGACTAGTTACACTTGCTCACAAAATAAGAGCATGTTGACTATAGGCTCTTCTGCAAGCAAACAGTCTCTTCAGAAAATACCAATACTTTGTCGGAAAAAAGGGCATACATTTTTTTAAAGACCCTTTTTCACTGTCTCCTAACACTACCCCCTAAATAAACCATTTACAGGTATCTAAATAGCAATTTATGTTGTAAAGTATCAGAGTGGTAGTGAAATAAACCAGCAAGTTTATCTCAATTCATGAACAAATCTGAATAAAGTTGCATGAAATAGGAAACAACAAAAGTACATTAGTGAGTATGTAGGCTGTTTGAAACATAGTTTTTTTGTTTGTTATTTTTTTGCTTTCCTATAGGATATCACTACTTTAACTGGTGTTCCAGAAGAGCATGTAAAAACTAGAAAAGTCAGAATCTTTGTTCCTGCTCGCAATAACATGCAGTCTGGAGTAAACAACACAAAGAAATGGAAGATGGAATTTGATACCAGGGAGCGATGGGAAAATCCTTTGATGGGTTGGGCATCAACGTGAGTACTTTAGTTTAAGGTGAATATTGTCAGCTCTCTCTTACTGTGTATATTTTTCTTTTAAATATGATTTTCAAACTTTTATGTTCAGTATAACAGGACTTTTTGACACTGTTGGCTATCACTGCTCAAAGATATACATTATATATATTTATATATTCATATAAATATGGCTTAGCACAATAAACTATGACATAGTCTTTTGCAAAGTACTACTTACTAGATAACAATGACTGATATTGAGAGCTGTGTTATCATGAAACCCAGAGATGTGTATACAGTAGGCCCCCCTTACCTGCAGTTTCGCTTTCTATGGTTTTGGTTATCCAACAGACAGTACAATAAGATATTTCAAGAGATGGAGAGAGACTACACTTATATAACTTTTTTTTTTTTGAGACGGAGTTTTGCTCTTGTTACCCAGGCTGGAGTGCAATGGCGCGATCTCTCGCCGCAACCTCCACCTCTTGGATTCAGGCAATTCTCCTGCCTCAGCCTCCTGAGTAGCTGGGATTACAGGCACGCGCCACCATGCCCAGCTAATTTTTTGTATTTTTAGTAGAGACGGGGTTTCACCATGTTGACCAGGATGGTCTCGATTTCTTGACCTCATGATCCACCCGCCTCAGCCTCCCAAATATAACTTTTCTTATAGTATATTGTTATAATTGTTCAATTTTATTACAACTTATTGTTAATTTTTTACTATGCCTAATTTAATTTATAAGTTATACTTTGTCATAGGTCTACATGTTTAGGAAAATACAGGGTTTGATATTAATCACATTTTTAAGCATCCACTGGGGGTTCTGGAACTTGTCTCCACTATTTTATCTAAGATACTCTGTGAATGGTGTTTATAACATAGTGACACTTTATTTTAAAATTACAATAAAACTTCTTTGTTTTATAAATATATATATCTTTTTTGTTTGTAAGGGGGGGTAGGAACTAGGTGAATTTAGAAATTTGTTAACTTGAGGGAAACTTTGAAGTTACTGAGATATTGTGATTAATAAATTACTTTTTATTTTTATTTATTATTTTCTTTAGAGATGGGATCTTGCCCCATTGCCCAGGCTGGAGTGCAGTGATGTGATCCTAGCTCACTGCAGCCTTGAACTCCTCCTGGATGATCAAGCGGTCCTCCCACTTCAACCTCCCAAGTAGCTGGGAATATGGGTGCATGCCACAGCACCTGGCTAATTTTTTTTATCTTTTTGTAGAAGTGGAGTTTTGCTTTGTTGCCCAGGCTGGTCCCAAACTCCTGGCTTTAAGCGATGTGCCCACCTCAGCCTTGAAAAGTGCTGGGATTATAGGTGTGAGCCACCATGCTTGGCCATTAAATTGCTTTTTAACAGTGTATTAGAATAGATTCTTCTAGCACTAATGAAGTCAGTGACCTAATTCTCCATAATGGAATCGGGCCCAGATGTTAAGTAGGAGGGCTGATTCTAGTTAAATTTAAAAAGCTACCATTAGAGAAAACATTAGGCAGATAAGCTAGAAAATTGTCATTCACATTGAAACTCTTAGTGCAGTCTCCAGTTGAAGGTAGTTATAAACTTAGAAAATGTAAACTGTCTTGTTTGAGAAAAGTATAATATTCAACATCATTTCCTGTTGATTACTTGGGAGACTTTTTTTTTTTTTTTTAGAAAACATCTCTCGTGTTGCAGTTTAGATAGAATTATATTAGGCAAATGATGTATAGGAACAATTTTAAATTTTTTTTCCTCGTTGCAGTTTAAATCAGATTTTTTAAATTTAAAATTTTAAATGCAGTTTAATTTTAAATGAGAAAAAGTCAGATAACACGAATTCAATTAGAACATTCACAAAAAATACAAATGTACTTCCACAGATTTGTTAATAAGATTAGTTATTCGGTGTGGACTGGGAGCAGTGGCTCATTCCTGTAATCCCAACATTTTGGGAGGCCAAGGCGGGCAGATCACCTGAAGTCAGGAGTTCGAGACCAGCCTGACCAACATGGAGAAACCCCATCTCTACTAAAAAAAATACAAAAGTAGCCGGTTGTGGTGGCGCATGCCTGTAACCCCAGCTACTTGGGAGGCTGAGGCAGAGAATCACTTGAAGCTAGGAGGCGGAGGTTGTGCCGTTGCACTCCAGCCTGGTCAACAAGAGCAAAACTCCGTCTCAAATAAAAAAAAAAAAAATTCAGTTTGTTATAAAATTAAAAGTATGAGAATGAAAATGAAACACTTTGCTAAGAATATTCTGCTTTATCAAACCACCTAGGTAGAGTCTTGAGCACTCACTGATAATAAAGCTGAGAAACAGATACTTACCCAGTTTAGTCTTTGGAGTGAATCTGTATATGTGAGATGAGGCCGCCAAGTCATGGTTATAAGGAAGGGATGGAATCACCTCATCTCCCTGGAAGCCCATAATTGTCATGTCTCCTGTGGAAGTAGTACAAGACCTTGCCTTGGAATTGTTTGAAAGGGGAGCTTCCAAATGGAAAACTGAATCTACCCAGTTTCTGGCAAACAACAGATGGAGGAACATTTGGCTTCCAAACTTTTTCATACATAAGATAATTTTCCTAAGTAATGTTGCTCTGGTGGGTTGTATAGTCTCAATACTTGTCAAGAAAACAGAAGTCTCCCATTAACCCTAACTTCAAAGAATAAATACCAGGTCAGATTTCCCAGTGCACCTTACTGTTTCAAGAGATTCCTGGTGGTGCCTGCATCTGTAAGTATGGTCATACATAGACAAAAGCAGTGGTTCTCAACTAAAGGTGCTTTTGTATCCTTAAGACATTTGCCAGTGTCTGGAGACATTCCTGGTTGTAACAACTGGTGGCTTCTGCTGACATCTAGTTAATAATGGCAATACTGTGAGACACAGGACTGCTCTCCTTTGCAATCAAGAAAGAATTTTCTGGCCCCCAAAAGTAAAGATGCTGAGGATCAAAAGCCCAGTATCAAGGAGAAAACTTTCTGAGACCATTTTTTTTCTTACAAAAACATAATATGCCCACCAATGTGAAATGTTAGATCACATTTTTGTACAAGAGTGGTTGTGATAGGCAGAATTCTAAGATGCCCCATGATCTCTGCTTTTTTGTTACAACTCTGATCATCCTCTTTCATAGGTATAGCTACATCTGTGACTTGTAGACATTTGATTATGCAAAGGTGAGGGGATGCTCTTTGGCACCTTGTATCAGAAACAATAGGAATCTATATTTTCTATCTTGTGTTTGGTTTCATAATAAAGTGATTTAGAGTATCTCCCATTCATGGAAATTTTAGACGCCCTTTAGTCTAAGGCCATTTATACATAATTGAATATTTGTTCTTTTTAAATTTTAGATCCGGTGGTACATGTGCAGGTTTGTTACATGAATATATTGGGTGATGCTAGGTTTGGGCTTCTAGTGAACCCATTACCCAAACAGTAAACACAGCGCCCAATAGGTATTTTTTCAACTCTTGTGCTCTTCCCTCCTCCCCTCTTTTGGAGTTCTCAGTGTTTATTGTTTCCATCTTTATATCCATGTGTACCCACTGTTTAGCTTTCACTTAAAAATGATAAGATGCAGTATTGATTTTGTTTCTGTATTAATTCACTTAGGCCTCAAGCTGCATCCATGTTGCTACAAAGGACATGATTTAATTCTTTTTTATTGCTGAGTAGTATTCCTTGGTGTTTATATACCACATTTCTTTATCCAGTCCATTGTTGATGGACACTTATGTTGATTCCTTGATTTTGCTATCGTGAATGGTTTCTTGTTGATAAAATGAGTTATTTTCCTTTGGGTAGATACCCTAGTAAGATTGCTAGATCAAATGGTAGTTGTGTGTTTAGTTCTGGGAGAAATCTCCATACTGTATTCCATAGGGGTTGAACTGCTTTACATTCCCACCATCAGGGTATAAGTATTTTCTTTTCTTTGCATCCTTGCCAACAATAGCCGTTCTGACTGGTATCTCACGGTAGTTTTGATTTGTGTTTCTGTGATGATTAGTACCGTTGAGGATTTTTCATGTTCATTGGCCATTTGTATGTTTTCTTTTGAAGAGTAGGTGCTGTGGTATCCTTTTTGTGTTTCATGTAACATATGGAGTCATTTTGTAAACCACATGCTTCTAGAAGCCAAAGGAATTTATAAGGAAAAAATTTGTCCCTATCCAGCAATTGAAATGTTAACGATTACTGTTTTTCAATCACGAGATTTTTACATATTCATCTATTCTGCAGACTCACTGTAGTAATGCATTCCCAGCAGCATTCAGTAATAAATCATTATTTGAGTATTTGCGCCTTTTATACTCTAAATTGTTTATGGGTAAAACATTTCATATAAGAATTTTTGAGTGATGTAGAAGAGAAAAAGTAATATCTTCCTCATATCTATTGCAGGATTTGTGGCTCAGACACCTATAACAAAAGGTAGTTCAACAAGAGACTAGCATACAATTTCATTTTGTATAAGATTTATGTAATACAGGGGCCTTCAGAAATGAAGACCCCCCCCAAAAAAACAGGGAAATATGTGTATTTTTATGCTTAGTTTTGATGAAGAGTGGACAGTCATACAGAAGGATAGTTGGACAAAGTTTATGATCTAATGGTCATAAACTAGGAAGAACTTAGCCAGACCTGTTTGTTCAGATTCTTGTCTATGTCCCTGTGTCTTCAGAAACAAGGACATTCTATTCCTCCTGTTGTAGGGTAGACACTTCTGGAATGAGGGTCTTAGGACTGACTTCAGAAGGTCAGAGAATTCTGTTATGTTCTGCTTCAGGGGAGTGTCAGAGAGACCTTCCTGCTTTGCTGTTTTCTCAAATGCCAAGGTGCCATATTTTGGGGATAGCGTGTCCTAAAGCCCATTAGAGAGCTGTTTAAATAAAGTTTTACTTTGCTGTGTTTGCACAAAGGTTCACACAATCATTATTACAATATTGCTTAGTCTAGAAACAGCATAATAAATTAGGAAATACTTAGTGATTTAATTGCTGCTT